GAGTCTGTTAACAACCATTGGACCGGAAACAAAATTCGATATCCTAGTTAGCAAAGCATTGCATTTTTTGACCGCAGTTGCTAGTCTTGACAAGCATGCTCAAAATTTCAATAATGGCGAGATTCTGAGTCAGGTGGTTGAGAAGGTCATTCTGCCCAATGTTAGCTTGAGAGAAACGGATATCGAACAATTCGAGGATGAGCCCATCGAGTATATCCGTAGAGATCTGGAGGGCTCAGATGCTGACACCAGAAGACGAGCAGCTACCGACTTCTTGCGCAAGCTTCTGGAGAAGTTCGAGCCACTTGTGACAGATGTTGTTGGGAGATATATCAAGCATTATCTTGACCAATTCTCCCAAAACGGTAGCGATCATTGGAAATCTAAGGATACCGCCGTATATTTGTTTTCGGCTATCGCAGCTAAGGGTGTCATCACAACAGGACAAGGAGTCAAAACCACAAACCCCTTAGTGAATGTTGTCGACTTTTTCCAACAGAATATCGCGAATGATCTTCTTGCGGAAAGCAATGTTGAGCCGATCTTGAAGGTTGATGCTATTAAATTCCTTTATACATTCCGTAGTCAATTGACCAAAGATCAATGGAAGGCGGCATTTGAACCCCTGGTCAAGAATCTAGGTTCCTCGAACTATGTGGTATACACTTACGCCGCAATTACTGTGGAAAGAGTTCTGTTTCTCACAAACGATGCAAACCAGCATATCTTTGGGAAGGAGGATGTATTGCCACTCGCCGAGAGCCTTTTAAATCACTTGTTCCATTTGATCGAGAAAGATGCCGCACCCGAGAAAATTCAGGAGAATGAGTTCCTCATGCGCTGTGTTATGAGAGTGCTCATTGTCATTAAGGACGGCGTTATTCCAATAGCAGATAACGTTTTGCAGCACTTGATCAAGATCACTCAAGTCATTGGCCAAAACCCTAGTAACCCACGCTTTTACTACTATCACTTCGAAGCCTTTGGCGCTTTGATCAGGTATGTACACAGGTTCTTTACAAGATGTAATGCTAACTTGAAAAAGATGGTCGGCGCCTTCACAACCCGACAAACTTGAGAATGATCTGTATCCTACCTTTGCTGGTATTCTCTCTAGCGACGTTCAAGGTATGCTCAATATCCACTCAAAAATGGGGTCCTGCACTAACAATCGTCAAGAATTCATGCCCTATGTCTTCCAACTATTCGCCGCTCTTCTGGAAGCCAACCCGTCCACGACACTTTCCGACTACTACAGAAACTTGATTGCCCCAATCCTAAGTCCTACTCTTTGGGAGTCTCGAGGAAACGTGCCTGCCCTGACTAGATTGCTTTCCGCAATGATCCCTAAATGCGCTGCTGAACTTGTAGCGAATAACCAACTCGAGCCAATACTTGGCATTTTCCAGAAGCTTATGGCCGGAAAATCAAGAACTGAGCTACAAAGTTTTGATGTTCTAGAAGCTTTAATTATTTCGTGCAATGTGTAAGCAACTCTAATTCTCCTCCTAACATACCAATTGTTTCTGTTCTAACATGTGATAGCTCTGCCATTGAACAATATTTCCCTACGATCTTAAACATCATGTTCACACGCCTTAACAGCAACCCTCCCGAAGCGTTTAAGCGTCGCTTTGTCCGTTTCTATCATCTCATCTCATCTAAGGATCAGCAAGGCCTTGGAGCAGATTTCTTTATAAAGCAATCAGATGCTGTACAAGACACCGTATTCGTGCCTCTTTACTTGACCATTATCCTCCCAATCACCCAGCAATTCCCTCGGCCACTAGACCGCAAAATCGCCGTCATCTCTTTGACTAAGACCCTGACCGATTCTCAAGCATTTGCTGTTAGATATAAGAAGGGTTGGTCTAAGACTTGTGAGGCTCTCCTCAAGTTGTTGGAGAACCCACCACTACCTGTCACAACCGATGATGTAGTGGCTGAAGCAGATGTCGACGACTTAAGTTTCGGAGTTGGCTTTACACAACTTAACACTTGCAAGAAGGTTGCAGTTGACGAATGGCCAGAGATCACGGATGTAAAGCTTTGGGTGGGATCATATTTGAGAGAGGCAAATCAACGACACGACAGAGCAATTTCAGGTTACGTCAACGAAAGATTAAATTCTGAGGCCAGAAGTCTTTTGGTTGAGTATATGCAGTAGGATGAAATTTATCACGCATGATACGAAGGTGACGAAGTAATATGGTGGGTTTGTACCGATAAAGGAGCATTTCAGCGAGGCAAGCGAAAATTAGGTAGATTGGTTTCCATGATTCCCACAGTGAGTAGTATTGAGAAACAAGATGCATTACCATGATACAATTCGTTCAAATTGCCTGAAATCTAGAAGTACTTGCTCTCACAGGGATATGAAGCAATCATTTACACATAGATGCTTTGAATCCTGAGACTAGAAGCAATATTCCTCGTTTCCTATCAGTCTATTGAGTAATGAACCACGATCACATACATCCATGGATATCAAAGTGCTTCAAAAACTTTTTGTATTCATAATTTTTGATGTCCTGTGGAGCAAGTCATTTCAATGGAGGAAATTCATGAAATGTGCCTGAATGGGCTTCATTACATTTTTCAACGCCCACTTCATGCCCACTTCAGATCTAGCAGTAAGAGCTTTCTAATGTTTCAATACAGTCTGAAGATCAAACATTCTCTCGAACTTAGATGCTGATCTAGGGTAAAAAGCAATGTCTGCGACATATCTTTCATTTCCACGCAAAGAGATGAATTCAATATAGCAAGCTACACGTGACCATAAATTCAAGTTAATCCGCCAATTCAACAAAATCCCTTCAATTTGCAACAACAGGTGCTTGAAAGCCTCCCAGATAATTTTTCTAAATATGACAAATAGTCAAAGAATTATATTATGTTTGAAAATCGGCAAGGAAATACAATTATTAGAAGCTAGGAGAATGAAAAATAGTGCTGAATATTTAGGGAGATAGATTTGTTTTAACTAGCCCTAGTGTCCTAGTGCGATAACCGAACCTCGATTTTGAATCCTTTGGTGGTGGGGTTTAAATTTTTACTCTGCTTCGACGACGACTCCGAGCAAAATTTCAGCATCATGAGCGCCTTTCAAAACGGCGGCATCGCATCGCGAGCCTTGGACGATGACTCCGATATTGAGGAGGAGGCTCTTGCCAACGACTATAAAGAACAGGTTCAATATGAAGGTATGGAAGAGTTGGAGCAGGTCAACTCGATGAGCATGGCACAACAGACAGATGATATTCAGTCGAGACTTGCTGCTGCTGCACAACCCTTGGACTTTTCTGCTCCTTTGGAAGTCAAGTTTGCAAGCTACGATAATTATTGTAGTTTGTTTCACTTCATTTTGAACTCTGACGGACCAGTTGACCTCGAACCACCATCGGTAAGTTCTTTGTTCATTTATCAACAGACTCGCATGGGACGCTAATTATAGCTACAGTACTACTGGGCTTGGGATGTCATCGACGAGTTCATCTACCAGTTCAACTCTTTCTGCTCGTACAGAAATCGTGTCGCACGTCAAGGTACAAATGAAGAAGAAATTCAAATCCTTCGCGAGGCGCCAAACACATGGGGATGTTACAGTGTTTTGAACGTTTTATACTCTCTCATTCAGAGATCGCAGATCAACGAGCAATTAGCTGCCATGAAGCGCAATGAAGAGCCTATGGCGGTCGCCGGTGATTATGGTTCGAAGTCCTTGTACAGAATGCTCGGATACTTCTCCATCATTGGATTATTGCGAGTTCATTGTCTCCTCGGTGATTTCAGTCTCGCCTTGAAGACACTTGACGATATCGAGCTTAACAAGAAGGCTATGTTTGCGCGCGTCATGGCCGCTCATTTCACTACCTATTACTATGTAGGATTCTCATACATGATGATGCGCAGATACGCAGATGCCATCCGCATGTTCAGCCACATCTTGATCTACGTTTCAAGAACCAAGAACTTCCAAAAGAACGCCCAGTATGACTCAATCTCCAAGAAGAACGATCAAATGTACGCTCTCATTGCCATCTGTGTGGCTTTCCACCCAACCCGTCTCGATGATACCATCCACACTGCTCTCCGCGAGAAGTATGGTGACCAACTTCTTAAACTTCAACGCGGTGGACCTGAATCTCTCCCAATCTTTGAGGAGCTATTCCGCTCTGCATGCCCCAAGTTTATCTCTCCTACTCCTCCTGACTTCGACAACCCAGAATTAAACGTCGACCCTCTCGAGCACCATCTATCTATCTTCATGGATGAGGTTAAGACGAACATGTGGAGCCCAACTGTGAAGTCCTATCTCAGGTTATACACCACCATGGATGTAAAGAAGTTGGCTGGATTCTTGGAGGTTGAACCTGAGAAGTTGAGGGGATGGTTATTGGTCAACAAGCAACGCAGCAGACAAATTAGATGGACTGATAATGGATTGTTGGACGGAGAAGTGGTCAATTCTAACGATCTCGATTATGCCATGCAAGGAGTAAGTCTATTAGAAAACATCAATGCAAAATACAAAATTGCTAATAAATTTTTACAGGATCTCATTCATATTTCTGAAGCAAAGGTCGGCCGCAAATTGGTGGACTGGTATCTCAGAAACCTTGCTCGCACATACTAAAATACCTTTCATGCTTCTCTCTTGACAATATTGCTTTCAACTCTATGGCATTGGTATGGCGTACTGGGGGGTGGAAAAGACAAATCCACGAAATGGCTTGTCAAAAATGGACGAAGGCGAGGAGCCTTACAAGTAGATCAAAATAAATTATGAAGTAAACCCCATGTATATGTATACGTTGCTGTGCTATTCCCGGGTGAAAGAGTATCCATGATTTTACCATCACAGTTGTACCTGTCGTAAGCAACTCACAAGGCTGAAAGGGAAGGCGCGACGACGACTATCTTGGCATTCAGCATGTCTCATAAAGACTACTAATAACGTAACAAAATGCATACATAATTGTTGATTCACCCATACCTTAGCTGATTAGCCAGAATCTTTCAACTTCAGTATCTGGGCATGAATAATAAATGTCTAAATAATCCTAGTACGACACCGCTGTTTCTCGCCTGAAGCCTAGAACGGACCACTTCATCCATCCACTTTGACAAATCTCAAACCAACAATCTCAAAGTTCTTATGCTCACCTCATTCGACATAAGCATTCAACAATTACTATAAAGTCGCCTTGAAAGAGACCAAATGTCTAATTTATAATTGAACAACAACTTACCATGTCGGCTCCTACTTCCCCGCACTTTAGAAGCTCAGATTCGCCATCCCCCAAATCTCCCCTTTCACCAAATATTTCTGCGCCAACAAATTCGGACTATTTTTCTTCTCGAAAGCTTAGATCTATCACAGAGCATGTCCAATATGATCATCCGCCTAACCAACGGGTAAACTCGATGTCGAGCATATCCTTCAGAGGGGGTTCGAGAGGTCCGCGGCCCTTGAAAGACGGGAAGGGAGGTAAAGGAAAGAAGACGCTGACTCGTCCTCGTCTGAGGGGCTCGAGTCCACCTCCTCCACCGTAAGTTGTGTCCCATTTCCTTATTCTTTGTGCGACGATGTTTTGTTTCAAGGGAAGGTGGGAATAGGCCGTACCATCAAATCAAAGTATACTTTATAATGTCCCACGCTTTCCTTCCCGGATCCTAGCGGCCGAAATCTGGGGGCGGGTGATCAACCCCACTTGGTTTCTATATCGCGCAAGACAGCTCTCTATGGTTGATCTGGATCTTTATTGCATTACTACCCAATATCTCTTTGCGATACATGAATCTGACACTAATGGCGCCCAACAACAGAAAGTTTAAAGGAAAAGTCTCATTCGATAGCATTGGATCGCTATCAGAAGACACAGAGAGGAATACAAGAAGTTACACTCAGAACTCTAAACATGAAGGATATCAATACAAACGATCCTCGAGGACTTTCATGGTCGGCATAGACGAGAATTCCTATTCGGATATCGCTTTACAATGGATGCTAGAGGAGCTCGTCGACGATGGAGACCAAATTATCTGCTTAAGGGTTGTTGATAAAGATTCGAAGTTGATCACTGACAGAGCCCTGGAGATCAAGCAATATCAGCAGGATGCGAGAGAACTACTAGATGCGATACAAAAGAAGAACGATGATAATAAAGCTGTCAGTATTGTACTGGAGTATGCCATAGGCAAAGTCCATACAACTTTTCAAAAGATGGTAAGTTTGGACCGTTGGGTGTTCGCAGATAATTATCGCCACTTACTAACAATTCGGGTGTCCAGATCCAAATTTACGAACCTGCAATGCTCATCGTTGGAACTCGGGGGCGAAGTCTTGGGGGGTTCCAAGGTTTGATGGGAAACAGAAACTCGTTCTCAAAATGGTGCTTGCAGTATTCGCCCATACCAGTCGTTGTCGTAAGACCCACGGATAAAAGGTTAAAGAAGAAGCAAAAACGAGATGCAGATCCGGCACGTCAAAGTTACACTCGCATTTTACAAGAGAGTGGGGTTAGCGGACATGAAACGTCAATCGTTGCAAGCAATCTCGAGAGTGCAACTGGTCCCCTTATTGAAGCGCACGCGGTAGCAGCTGCTCTTGGTTTACCAGCGGAATTTGATCCCACATTGACGCCATTTACCCTTGAAGGCAGCCGACCTCTCAAAAAGACAGATTCCGGTAAGAGCGAAGCGACAAGCACCAGTGGGTTTGATTCTCGACCTCAGAGTCCGGAGATGATTGTGAAGAGTCCTAGATCTGCACAGCTTGATAGTCCCATCATGAGCGGGGATGATTCTAGTGAGGGAGAAGGGGATGATGATGAAGGAGAATTCGAGGCAGTGCCTGGACACTTGTTACTTGGCAACGACGATATCCCTCAGCCAAACCCAGAAATTGAGAAGAAGAAAAAGCTTCATGAGATGGAGCTCGAAGAGGCAAAAGCTCTAGGCCGAAAATCTTCTACTGGCTCTACTGACAGCGTTGATCCAGATGGTAGAGGCGAGGGGAATCGACTAGCCGGCCCGGGCGAATCTTTATACGGAATATCGAATGGCGAATATCACTCTTACGAAAATGCTCTGTTATTGATACCTTCCTTTATTTAGCTTAAGTTAATTTGCTGACTTTTGGAATTGCTCGCACTCGGGCCAAGCTTGTATTGGGTAAGTGGGAGATACGACGGAGAGGAGGGGATGGATGAACTTTATGAATGAAATGAATGTTATGACAGCAATGACGAGGGCATCAGGTTAAATTCGGGATGGGAATGGGTAAAGGATCGCATCCATGCTTCGGTATATGCACAATTGGGAGGTTGCACAGCTGGCCATGATATGAAGGAAGGGCATATCGGTAGGAGTTTTTGGTCTTTTTCCTCTAATACAAGCGACACTTTTAAGTTATGAACATCATCCTTATATTATGTTTGCTCCAACAATTTTAAAATACAGTGAGACCGAAGCCGTGCTGTTTGACAATGATGTTGATTTCTGCATTAGGCGGACGAAGAAACCTCGAAGTAAAGGTGCTTCATGGTACTCTATAATGTGGGAAGTTGGGTCCGACACTTAGACACACTCTGACGCTCCTTAATAAGCTCGTAATCAGACTGAATGTGAGCTCGCGCCTACATCTTCAAGTCTCGTCACCACATGGGCCTGGGATCTAGCCATAGTAGGTTATGATCGATCGACAGTATGCCGAACAGACAACTTTGAAATGATAGATGTAGAGATGCATCATCAATTAACGCCTTGGGCGTTGAACGTCGTAGAGCCAGAGTGCTGTTTACGATCGATGTCTACTCTTCACTTTCTTTACTACTTTCCCATGTCCATGACAGGAAAGACCCATCTGAAAACTCTGGTACATTTTTCATTGGCCTTGTTATCTATTTTTGAGAAAGATACTTGAATTCATAGACATCGACATACGATACTTGATCACGTTGCAGACTCCATATATGCTGTTTGCAGGGACTGCTTCGGAAGCTTCGACATCGTTTCTGCAAAGCGGCTCTACTTTGACATGCATATTACTAGAGTGAGGCGTGAAATGATATGGGTAGGAGAAGATCTGTTTTGTAGTCATTGCAATTCAACAGTGAAGGATTTTCGCAATCTGGAAACCATCGGGGACACTCGAATCCGTAAGCCAGTTGAAATAATCAATTCATTATATTGTGTATTCTATCTGTATTACTAAAGAAAACTGTGATGCCTTGCTAGTCTAAGCTGTTGCATACATTGAACAGAATTATGCGCTTCGGATTGCGCAGAGTGATGTACGCTACATCACTTTGGACTCACTTCTTGATATATATCTTGTGGTTTAATAACTTCCTCCCTATCTTCCAAACCAATACTAATTTAAATTTCTCTCGACTACGACTACGACTACACTTATACCATGCTCTCTCTCTCCTGCAAAAATATCTCATCTGATCTCATTTCATCCCATCTTCCCGCATCCACCCAGTCCCCACCCACCAAAAGTGAATATAACCTCACCCGCCCGCATCGCCCTCCCAACACTCACCCACCCAAAAGAAATTCCCCTCCCAGTCCAAAACTCAAAAAATTGACAAAAAATAAAGGACGCTCTATGCAAACGAATCTTGGAGATTCCTTAACTTAAACCAGGCAACTGATTCTACAAGAAGACAATCACTTCGTAGGCTTGTGAAGCAGAGGTGCCGTTTTAGGGCATGTGCATACTCAGACGTTACCCCCTGAGCCGCATGGCATTTTTTGTTTCTCGGATGTGGGAAGAGGTGGGATTGGGGATGATATGGGAAGGTGAGGGTGAGGTTGGGTGAATTGGGGTGATGATGATGATGATTTGGTGAATGCGAGGGATGGGTTTTGAGGATGTGGAATTGGGTGGAGGGGTTGAGGAGGTGGTTGTCATATGTATGTACGTCGCTTTGCTGTTTGTGTAGTTAATAGATCCGAAATATCGTCTTTGGGTATTCATTGCGCCTTGCTAATTGATCCTATTCGTTCGCAGATATTTAATCTCGTGAAAAGCGCATTGCATCTACCAGTTTCCAATCAGTCATGTAAACCATCCATGAGTTTTCTAGACATTTCTCGATGAGTCTCGAGAACTATAATAATATAATCATACCAATCTATCTACGCCAGCCATCCAAATCCATATCCATATTCCTATTTGGTATCTCGAAATCCCTCTTATCATTGTGAATTAAATCCAGCCTAGAAAGTATCCAGTACTGGCCATTACCAACCAAAACTATCCATCATCATTAACCCTCAACCTCCCACTCATCATCTCCTCCCCAGACTCCTCCCAACAGAACTCATAGTCCTCATACTTTCCCTCCTCTCCTCTCCTCCGATCGCTTCTCCAATCCCTGCCGCAACATTTTTCGGAAACGCCATCTCGGGCATCTCCCACGTTCGCTCTCCATGCCCATTCATATTCACACTGGGCATTCCACTATTTTCCTTTTGCCTCCCATGCACATCATGACTCTTCGAGCTCTTATGACTCTTCGCTACACTTCCTCTCGTCTTATGTCCCCTCACACTCTCAACTTTATCCGCCACCTCCGCATTAAAATCCCACTCGCGCCAAAAATCTCTCTTCCCCCGTGTGGCTCTGCGTACCCAACCAGGCAATAAGCCACCCCGAACTTTGTATGTCCAGTAATCTTTCAACTCATAGTCGTGTGGCATAATTCTTCCTCCTGACATTTTCGCCAACACCCATGCCGATGTATTAAGTAAAGTATATGTAACGATTCCAGTAATGAGCCCGTAAGCGATCGAATACGTAAAAGGCATAATTGCCAGCGTCAAGAAAGCCGGAATAGAATCTCCAAGGTACCGCCAATTGATCTCCGTGCACGCGCGTGCCATCATCGCTCCAACGAGTATCAAAGTAAAAGCCTGTTGCCCAAGGAGGTATACCTAGCGAATATTGGCGCGAAGAAAAGACTGATGAAGAAGCAAATCCGGTAGTGACGGCCGTGAGTCCTGTAACGCCTCCTTCTGATATCCCCAGCACCCGATTTCGATAAATGCAGTGACAGGAGGGCGAACCCACAAAGGAAACCCAGAGATATGCCAAAGGCGGTCAACGAGATAGGCTACGGCGCTGCCTTCAAAATCCTGCGTATCTTCGTCGATGGCTCCACAGAAACGAGCCATCGAATATAACGTGCCGGTGCAATCAAGGATATCGACGTAAAGGAAAGTGATGAGTGCGGAAGCGAATTGTCCAGCCCCGGCTCCAGTGATATTCCAATCTTGCACAGCTAGCACTCGAGAAATGGGATGAAAGGTGACGATTTTCTTAAAGAACTCGAATGCCGCATCGCCAGAAACAGTAGGAGGGAAATAAGTAACGGAAGTATTGCGCGGCCACGAAACGATAGAGACGAGGAGAATCCCGGCTATGACTGCACCTTTGACGCGGTACATCATGAGAAACGCTGTGAACATCCCCCCACCGAATATGCCAAGCCACATTGTCGGACTTCGCATTTTCCCAGACGTGCAAGTTCCATCTGGAGCAATAAGCTCGGGTATACAGCCAGTTACTTGAAGAGGTACATCAGCATTACTGCCTGTGATAGCACCGATTCCCGCACTGTAAGTGAGTCCGATGAGAGCGAGATAAAGTCCAATGCCTGCACCGCTGGCTATCTTCAAGCTTCGAGGTATTGCGCGAGCAAGCCATTGTCTGAGCCCGAGTATCGAGAGCGCAACAAAGAGTAATCCTTCGATGAATACAGCTGTCAATGCTAGTCTGTATGAGACAGGTCCTTGTCCATGTATTCCAACAACTTGATAAGCAAAATATGCATTTAACCCCATTCCGGGGGCTAGCGCTATCGGCATATTTGCAAAAACACCCATGCAAAAACTCGTCAGTGCAGATATCGCTGCCGTGCCTGTGACTAAATCTTGGTTGATCTCCTGAACACATATCTGGTAACTGGGATCCGTTGAGTTATCTAAGCAGAAGGGATCCGTAGATCCAGGAGGGTAGTCGCATACACATGTTCCTCCGGTAGCTTGAAAGATGTGAGGGGAGTTATCGAAGTATAGGTAGAAAACTTACCTGATACGATTGATGAATTTACTGAGATGATGTATGCCATAGCAAAGAACGTGGCGAGACCAGCTCTTACTTCTGTCAAAAATCTAGAGCCTTTTCTCTCGTACCTGTGCCCGGAAAATTCCAGTCTGAATCGTCTTCCAACGGCGCTCTTCGCCACGGTCATATTCGTCTTCTCCACCTAAAGTCTAATAAGCATTAGAATGTCCAGAGATTCTGGGCGATGCGTACCCAACCCATGATGGGAAGATATATGGTGTATCATGCAATGAAAGACGAGGTTCCTTTAAAGAGATTGACTTGTGTGATATGAAGATCTTCTATATGGTCGATGTTGTATACATGACTCCAGTTTATCGTATAAGCTAAGTATTTATTGTTGATCAACCATGCACGATTACCCAGCGATTGTCCAACCTCACTGACAAACTTAACAAAGGTATAACTGATATAATTTTCTGATTTGTTTGGAATATTCCCTAGAAGTAATAAATCCGATTGCTCCAACAGTCATCCGCTATAGGCATGAAACGTAAGATATAAAGGTTCAAGAGAATGACGATGTTGATCTGTGACGAATCTAATACGAGGAACGTCTAGAATACATATTATGATCGAGAAGGGTTGTGGAAAACGGGTTGCGACTGAAAGCGCGGGATCAAACGTCGAGGCCTATAGATCCAAAAACGAAGGAAGAAAAGATAAAAATACGATGAAAGCAAAGGTATAGATGGCGGAAATAGTAACAGAACATATGGATGGCACATGCCCGGTAGTCACTGCAGCCGTGTGTAACGTGTAGCATGACAAAATCCGTCAAACAAGCTGGATCCAAACTTTCAGATCAAATTGCGTACGGTGGCTCAACTTTTTTCAAAGGCTTAATCAATCGTGCCACCCAGCACCCAATACACCTTATCTAGGGTCAATTCTTCCGAGGCCTTTTATAAAAAAAATTGTCCAATGATCGTGGGCCGCAAGACTGCAGCCTTTTAGCTTCTGTCGTTCCGCCCCCAGTATCTCTGTGGCACCCCGCTCCATGTATTTTTTCTCATATCGGGACAAGAACCCCACTTGGGAATCAAGTCCGCCAAATTCGGGATACACTACCGAGAGGAGCAGCTCGGCGTTGGCCACATTATCTGATACATTAAAAGGTAATCTGTACAGAATGCTGCTGGATTCGCCATGATCAGACGTAGATAAGTTCGCCTAATGCCCACTAGGAACATGAATTTCTCTCTCACGTTACAAGTGATGATATTCCATATACTCCTAATTGCCGAAGCAGCGAAGCTGATCAGAATGTTGGAAGAAACTTCATTTCGTTGGAAGGAAAAATTACCGGACGGCACAGAAAATGTACTGGATACTTTACGAGGAATGTCCACCAGTGGGTGCACGGACTCACGGGACAACGTGACAGCAAAGCACAATTTCATACCAAAAAGAGTGACTTTAATAATTCAATTAAAATTCAAATTTCGATTGAATCTTATTCAAATTGATATAATGTGTTTTTCAAGCATTAAAGAATAGTTTTCTTAAAGCTTGTTTCAAAAAGTGAGATTTGAGCTGAAAAATTCAATAGTGCGTTTTCCCACCAAAGTTTTTGGTGGGAGATTATATATTCTATTACCAAGACTTCAATTTTGATCATTTTAGTTCAAAATTTATTCTATATAGAATCTTTATGCTTGAAAACTATATATTTCAATTTCAATCAAATTGAACAACAATTTCAATTTTAATTAAATTATTAAAATCGCTCTTTTTGGTGTGAAATTGTGCTTTCCCACTTTAGTGTCCCGTGAGTCCGTGCACCCACTGGTGGTCGGGAAATGAAATCAGCCACCGCGTGCCGAGCCAGTCAAGAGACAACTTTTGAGGCATCCGATATCAATCATCCAAGGACTGTCTGATAACGACCAGAATTATCATTCGTTGTTATCCAACTCAACAAATACTCATGGAATGTTAAATTGCTCAAGTCTGCGGTCAAACATTCACATCTGGTTCTAGCTGGGTTGAGGGTTAGAGATACAAATTCTGAGACAACCGAACAATCATTTCTTACCGCTGTTGTGCGAGGAATCTTGCATCACTTACTTTTCTTGGATTATTGATACACATTTCCTCATCCAAACCAATTTTCAGACTCCCGTTGTCATGATGGCAACGACCTCTGCAGTGTTTTCCCCTCGTGATACAATACCGGCCGCAGTGGTCAGTGAAAGCTGCAGCTATTTCTCGGCTGAATTGTTCAGCTTGATTTTAGCCAATAGCTTCACATTTATGCGCATCGCCAATTGACAATCGTGATATCATTTGCTTACACAATGAACCTCGGTTAGTCAACAAATGCTCAATTGGGGAGGACGATTGTGGTGTGTAAATTTCATTTTGTTTCCATTTCTTCGAGTCAATTACGAGCGTTTGGTATTGTTTGCAAGTAATGCAAAGCAGGCAAATGATGTTGTCGACGAGTTACACCCAATCAAGGTTTAGAAGATGTAAGTTATTTGACCTACTCAGCAATTCTGAATGAGTAGATAATCGCAAAGGTCCGACATTGGAGTTGAAGTTGGAGAAGCAGAAAAGCCCTGCGGATGCAACATTGACAAACGGATACATACTCTTTTCGGGGTAACACTTTGTAGAGAAAGAGGTAATCAGCCTACCGATTTAACTTCAAGCCTTTCCAGATTTCCCTTAGACATGATATACGATCTGTACTCATGCGTGCATTGATATACATGTATGTGCTATGTTGTACAGCAGATGGGGGGTTATTTTCTGCTGTGTGCATCTGGAGTTTGTATGGTGAATCACATTAGCACGTTATCTGGGGTTTGCTTGCAGAAGAGTATTTCTCTTCAATTGTGACGAGAGTCAACCATAAGTCATGTCGTCGAAGTTTTCTTCACTGAAATAAAGATGAGAGCTGGCCGTTACTGCTCTTGCGTCCAGATATTTGGAGAGGTATGTGCAATCAACGATGCTCAATTGAAATCGAACATCGGACCAGATATTATCCGAAGTGTACAAGCAATTCTTGATCAACAATAGCTTGATTCTGGAAGAGGAACAGGTGGGAAAATATCGAATGAGGAAAGAATACCCTGAATTCATTCCTGTCAAACGAATTAATGACAGAATGAGGGAGATGCATCGAGCTACATCTGATATGTTCCGAATCAGAAAGACCAGCGTCTTACACTGTAATCGGTGAAAAGTTGTGTTAAAATGAGGCTCATAATCTTGACCTTCTGATAGTTGACAATAGTCAGCTTGGTCATACATCAATTTTGAATTGCGTAATCTACCTACATGAGATGGAACAGAACCAGATGATACTAGACCAAAGCGTTCGAAGTATCCACTTCGTGATGAATCAGGTATAGTGCTTGTTGTTTACTGAGCATGGTACGGACAGTTACATCCAGCGGAAGGAAGATAATGTCACGCAGTGAGGAGAACCGAAAATAGGTATATAAGTACCCGCACATGTGATATCATATTGTCTAACATTGTTTCTGACAGTCTGAAGGGTAGTGCATGAAGGCGATTTTCTTCCGGCACGAGAGAGACTTAACAGTCGCATGGCAGTTGCGTCTAATAATGCTTTGGTCGAGATGCATGATCCGACCGATGGCGATGAAGCGACAAACTCCATTTCGAAAATACGGGCTGGACTTGGCAAGTATTTCTATATCTCGACACAATATCATGCAGTGTGCTTCACTTGAAACGGGACTAGAATGCACCGGAAAGGGCACATGAGCTTCCAGTCAGAAAGCACAACGACGTTCTCACTTCCCTGCACTCAGGATACTCTTATTGTAGGTCTCAGGTTACAGTATGGCTTATTAGATACCCGGCTTCAGTGTCTTGCAGAATGAGTAGGATGGTCCTAGGCTGAGTAGAAGAAGTGTTTCTGATTGGGGAAGCGAGTTTCTAACCAACTTTTGAAAGGATATATGCAGTAGGGTATGAATAGGTTTTAAGTTTTATACAGCAAAAATATAAACATACACACATTGTGGATATGTGCATCAAACCATCCCCCAAATTTTAATGCCGCCAATGCACCATGCTCAATTCCATCAAAGTTTAAACGCCGTCTCCCTTACCTTTTCCAATTCCCGTTTTGATCTATTCTAAAAATGTGAAAAGGTTTGTATGCAATATGTTCATCGCGCGTGTGGCTTCGTAAGCGTCTATGACGCAAGATATGTTGATCTCACTCGCCCCTGAATGTCGCTTGTTAGTTGTCGAATCGCTATGTGGGATGGAGATTCTAAATTTACCCTGAGATATCATTTCGATGTTGACATTATTTTCTCCAAGAGTAGAAAACATCTTGCCAGCAATTCCGACCATGTTTTTCATTTCCGATCCCACCAGACTGAGGATCGCCATTTCATTGAGGATGCTGACTTCGCCGCACTCTTGAAGCTCCGCTTTGGTACTCTGCATGTCTTCTGCAGAGATGTACGCCGAATGAACAGCCATGGAAACATGAACCTCACTGGTGGAAATAAGATCCACAGAAATCTGTCGACTGTCCAGTATGGAAAACACCTTTGCAAAGAATCCGTGCGAAATCGATCTCTTATTCGAATGTACGTTGATAACGGAGATCTTGTCCTTGATAGTAACAGCCGTAGGGCGCTTAGGCGTTTTCTTCAGACTTACAGGACTTGGGCTTCTCGCATGGGTGTGCTGCGAAGGTTCTAATATAGGATCGGGAAGAATGATTGTGCCATTTCCCTGTGGGTTTTTAACGTTCTTGATCCGAATCTTGATCGGTGGGGTCGCTCGAATTACTTGGTCCATAGTGAGATGATGGATGACCTCGGACCCGTAAAACGTTAACTCTGCCGCTTCGGATGGTGTTATGGTGGACAAAATTCGGGCGGTTGGCACTTTCGAGGGATCTGCAGTAAATATACCATCAACTTCCTTCCATACTTGCAATTCTTCTGCCGCAACTCCCACAGCCACTAATGCCGCGCAAAGATCTGTATATCCTCTCCCGATTTCTCCATCCATCAAACCACCTGGAACGGTTCCAAAATATCCAGTGATAATTGGCACTCTATCCTGGCAAGCGTCGATTTTCTCTTTTATCGCCGCAGCCACGTCTCTGTAAAACTCCAAGTTCATCCCCTTGGGGCTCTTGAAATGGATAGCATCCGAGAGGTCCACGTATTCGGCATCAACTCCCTATAATATATATCGTAAGCACGGCGCACTTGGAATTCTCAATATAGCCTACCCTGTCTTGTAATAAAGCTGCCACAAATCTACAGCTAAGTTTCTCTCCAAAGCTGACCAGGCGATCCTTTGATCTCGAATCGATTTCCAGATGCCATCTTTCAACAGCCAATCGATATTCCTGTATCTCCTTACACTCCGTTTCAATGTCCTTTGCGAGCCTCGAGGCTATAGCCTCATCTTGTATATGTGACCTCGCTGCTGCAATGTGATCGTCGCGGATAACGTCCACAAGTCTTTCGTATTTGCTAACTAAGCTCTTGTAATGCTCTGAATCCGAATCTTTCAAAGAATTGACAGACTGAAGGACACCGTGGATTTCCAATAATCTGCAAAGGCCAGAATTAGTATATCTTTGTATGCACCATCCTTTTAGATTTCGATGATTCTCACCGACTCGTCGTGCCCTCGACTTTCTTCCCAGTACTTCTCGCGGAACAGACAACTGCGATTCTATGGTGTTTTAAGCTTGCACTGGATGCCCAATTAGTTTCAAATCGCTATGATTGGCAATGTTCCACAATCCACCTACCGAACAATGTCTTCCGCAATATTCACAGCGAATTTGCCTACACTTGTGCCACCAAATTTTTGCACCACCCAGCTTCTGTGACTATCATTGTGGTTCAATGAATTGGATATTAACGGTGAAGCATCAGGATGCCCATTGTGCTGAACTTCAGTCATCATTGTCCAAAACTGTCTGTGAATAATTGAAATAGATTGCTGCAAGATAAATTAGTTGTAAAATTGAAACCATTGACTATGCTATCTGAAGTTAAATGTAGGATAAAATGTAGAAAGGTTTAGGAAGCATTGAATAAGTTGAAAAGAGTCATACCAGGCACATATGTTTAATTCATTAGTAGAAACAATTATTTTCGAACCTGCATCGGCATGATATCGGAGCAAGTCAATGCGGGACCAC